CAGCCCACTGCCCCAACCCCACCCTACCAGCAACCCTACCCCAACCCCAACCACCCCACTGCCCTTGCTCACACTCTCGAAAATCTCAGCCTGAACTCCCATCCGACCTGGATCATGGACACTGGAGCCTCTCACCATATCACCGCTGACCCAGGTACTTTATCTCATGTATTTACTTCAAACATTTATTCACCCTCTCATATTATTGTAGGAAATGGATCTAAAGTATGCACTACAGCCTCTGGTAACGGTCTCCTTAACACAAACCCTCCCCTTTCCCTGAAAAATGTCCTTGTCTCCCCTCATATTATCCATAACCTTATTTCGGTCCGTCAATTTACTCGTGATAATAACTGTTCCGTTGAATTTGACTCTTCCGGTTTTTCTGTGAAGGACAAACGGACGGGAGCCGTGATTCATCGATCCAGTAGTGACGGACATCTCTACCCGCTATCTCCAGGCCAACCCCCAGCACATCTTCACCTAGCCAAAGTCGACTTGTCCACGTGGCATCGCCGACTTGGCCACCCAAGCCCCGCAGTTCTCCATGGCGTCTCTTCCTATTTTGATAGTTTTAATAAATCTCAGTTAGACTCTTTATGTCATGCATGTCAGTTAGGCAAACATGTTCGCCTTCCTTTTCAGTCCTCGAGTCGTGTATCTCTTTTTCCATTTCAATTATTGCATACAGATTTATGGCAATCGCCTGTTCCTAGTGTTACTGGATTTAAATTCTATATGATCTTACTGGATGATTACTCACATTATTTATGGATTTTTCCTCTACGTCACAAATCTGATGCTTACTCCCATCTTGTAAAATTCCATGCAATGGTCAAAAATCAATTTCACACAAGCATCAAAGCTGTTCAATGCGACAATGGCACAGAATATAGAAATAATCCACTAGCCACTTTCTTTGAGTCCTTGGGTATTCTTTTTCGTTTTTCCTGCCCATATACTAGCCAGCAAAATGGACGCGCAGAACGCACCATCCGCACCTTAAATAACACAGTACGCACCCTACTTTTTCAAGCCAATCTCCCACCTCAATTTTGGGTTGAAGCCCTTCATATGGCAACTCATCTTTTTAATTTATTACCCACCACCACTCTTCACAACCGTACACCACACGAAGTCTTATATCACACCCCTCCATCCTATAAACATCTCCGTGTCTTTGGTTGCCTTTGCTACCCAAATCTCTCCGCCACAGCACCCCACAAACTAGCCCCCCGTTCTGCGCGTTGCATCTTTCTAGGCTACCCCGAGTCTCAACGTGGCTATCGGTGTTTGGATCTCTCGACTCAGAAAATTATTGTCTCCAGACATGTTACCTTTGATGAGTCCACTTTCCCATACTCACCCCCACAATCCCCATCTTCTTACGACTTCCTCGACGCCATGGAGGACTGCATTGCCCCACACTTCCGCCACCTCCAAAGCCAATCACCCCACTCGACTCACACCACCCTGCTCCCACCTACGGCCCAAAACACCCCCTCTATCCCCATCAACTCCCACGGCCCAGCTCCCACCAGCCCACCCTCCTCGGCCCACCTCCCCACTCCATCCAATTTCCCCCCAGTCACTCCC